CATGTGCTTGAAGAGCCTAGTCATTCTTGCCAAATGGGGTCGAAGGGGCATACCCGGTCTCAGCTTGGTGTTGCAGACTGTAGACTAAAGATGGTACCTTTCTTTAGCAAGACAACCTTGATCTAATGGCTTCACATTCATGTCTGTAAATGACCTAGTCACCTCAAACAAGAGTCCATCATTGTTGTCGTTGAAACTCTTAGAGAATCTCACACCGACAACATCCCTTAGTCCTCCAAGGAATAAGTCCGGAAAAGAGAAAGGAAGTTTTTCTTTCCATTCTTCCGGGATGGAGTTAGCCATGAGTTGTGACACTAACTTGCAATCATTGGACCATGCACAATTAGTTACCTCACTCACGTCTTTCTTGGCACAGAGGGTTGGGAGGGAAGTATCTAGAACATACTTCTTGGAACAACTCCGGAGAGTTTTCCTAAGTTCCTCTTCCCATTCTTCAAGGTTTGTCAAGTTAAGCTTGATAGTCAACTTTTCGGGGAGTTCCGGGCACACATGGTTGTTGTTTGAGTTACTTGCAGACATTGTTCTACAATTGAAAGAATTTGAAATGAAAAATCATTCATAAACTAATAAGTTTGAAATTTAAAAGCGTTCATGCAAATTTTAAATCTTATTGAGCATTTTATCCACGCATTGATAAATGTCCCTTTTAGGCGAGAATAAAATGATTCCGAGATCCCAAAGATCAAGAAATGGTTAAGCATGCTTTGGCTTGTCTTAACATTAAATATCTTAAGGTAAGCAATCCAATTGCTAATAGCTCCAAGCTACTCTCGGTTTGATAAAATGTCGCATCTAATGCATTCTTGACATTTTATCTCTTTTGCCACGACATCTAAGGACTCCTTACTGATATCGTTGAGCTTAACCAAGACAACCTGTATACCTAGTATACCTTAAGTTCCTAGGGAAGTAGTGATGCCTCGCTTTGGCGTAGCCGATCACATACGCGCATTAGTCTGATAAGTGTTGTTCTTGGAACGACAAATTTTAGCTCAATATTTTAAGGGACCTAGGGTTTCTATGTTAGTTGATTTAAGTGAACTTAACTAATCGCCGCAACATATGAAATCCTAGACATGCATCTAACAATCATATATAACAATAATATATATAAAGCATAAATTGATGCATTTGGAAACTAGCATGACCCCTTGAAATCTTCAAATCTTCAAGGGTCTTCATCTTGGCTCGTCTTCATCGAAACGCCGTCTTGAGACATCTTTGCCAAAATAAAATAACTAGCTACTACGACTAAGATAAATCTAAAGTACAAAAATACTTAATGGTTCGCAGACCGTATTTAAATTTACAAAAATACATAACGGAACGCAGTCCGTATTTTCTATCCTAGTCACGTCCCACTAGTTGCCATTTTCTCAAAACCTGTTTTGAAAACAATCTTTCTTTCATCCATTCACTATTTGTGAATGGCCCATGCATATTACGAAATACATAATTAAACACGCAAAACTAGTAACTAACTTAGGTGGTTAATCCGATTAACGCACCTAATTAAAACTAGTCAAAGTTGTTTAATCCATTATTTCTAAAATGAAAATTTTGCTCACGTAATTAACTAAGCTCCCACTAAATTCCGCATCCATACTAAATCAATCCGATTAATTAAGTTGTCTTAACCCATTATTTGTCAAAATTTTGCAAAAACCGAAAAAATTGGGGTTTTAAGCACAATAAAATGATTACATAAATATTTCAAAATCGGCAAAATCTCGCAAAATACATAACTCAAAATTAAGCAAAATAGCCCACACAATTGCTTGGTGGGTGCGCACCATTGCTGTTAGGCAGCCCATGCCTTGTGCTATGTTGCGTGGTACTAGCATGCAGCGCCTAGCGCAGCAAGCCATGCTGCTAGCACCAGCAGCCTGCCTAGCATGCTGGCGCCAGCCAGCAAGTGGTGCGCTGGGCTGGTGCTTGCTGCCATGCTGCCCAACAACATCCCCTCGCAAGCCAGCTCCCAGCCACTGCCCCACACACATCAGCCCCTAGAATCCCTCGCCACACAGCATCGCACAGCAGCACCATGGCTTACCCCCTGTGTGCACCATAGGCAGCCTACATGCGGGCTGCTGGGCAGCCCGGCTGGCCTTAGTGACGCTTGGGGTTTAGCCTCGATTTACGTGCAATTTCTCGGGATTTTAATCTTGATTTGTGTGTGACATAAAACTAATTCCAAATTTATTTTAGAATTAATTTAGGGCAAAATGAAAATAAAATAAGTCTAACTTGATTAAATTCAATTTGATGGTGCACAAGCCTAAATCATCCAAAATTTTATTTTGAAACAATTTAGGTCTTCCTTTATGCTTAAAATTGAATGAGCTATGTCCATAATTAATTTAGCCCATATGCAAATTAATAATGGATTTGACAAATGGGAGTTGGAAAATAAATTAACCATCTAATGATAAAATTTTCCAACTCTTACTTGTGTAAAATACCAAGATTACATCTTCCAATATGAAGATTAATCAAAATTTTACTCACAAGTATTTGAACCTCATGGATTTTAATCAACCAAAAATGAAAAAATCCAAACTTTGTTCAATATGGAATTTAGGGTCAAAGTTCCAATCATTTAAACTTTTAAAGATTAGATCTTTAACATACTTAGAAACTTAAAATATCACATTCACATCAAACATTCACACATTAATGCAATTTATTTGCATAAATGTGAAAAATCAAGTTTGTGTGACAAAAAGCATATCAACTCAAGCACTAATTAAAACTCCATAATTATACTTAAGGATATTTAAAATAGCAGTAGATTAGGGATGCAATAATGCATTTAATCTATCCTTGTAATGCTTGCATTAATCAAGGCTTAAAAAGATTTAAAATTTTCGTTGAAAAACGAAAAACCCCCAAAAACTTGGATTTCGGTTCAGAATTTGGCTTCTGGACAGATGTCAAAGAGGGTTGAATTTGTTTCAGAATGTCGATTCCACCCAAAAATCACTATTTTTGAGCAAAAATCTGGGTTCGACAGCCAAATTGAGAAAAATACAAGTTTTAAAATTAATTAAAACGAGCTTCTAATCTAATTAGAAAAGCAAAACCAGAATTTAAATCTTACTTTAAAACACCTTAATTAATAAATAATTGAAAAAATTAAAAAGAGCATGGCTCTAATACTGCTGTAAGGTTTCGTAGTGACCCTCACTACTCGGAATGAAACCCCTTGAGACCCGCCCCCATATTTAATGCAACTAATACAAGCAAAACATAATTAAGAGAAAGGATAAGAATTATACCCTCGACGCGTGCATCACTCTTACACCGAGCTCTTACTTCAACCTCGATAATGCGAGGCCTCCAACGGGATCGTACCCTCGAACCCGACCCGGTCGTCCTAAGCCTCGAAGGTTAGTCAAGGCCCGGACAAAATATAAACTTGGAGTTTTACGAATTTCAAGGTATACTCAATAATGGAGTTTCCTTTACTTTTCCACTCAAGTGTCTTCTTTCCCAAATACCCAAGCCTTGGTATTTATAAGGAAAAGGGACTTGAAACCCTTGTTCATGATCAATGTGGGATCATGTGCAATTTTGATAATTTATTTAATTTTAAATTAAATGATTAATCAATTTAATCACAATGCAACAAGTGGCAAAAGGGTAGAGAGAGTTAAGTGAGGACCATGTCCCTTGGGGGGGACCATTGCCTTGCTCCCCAAGGCATGGCTCTAAGCCTTGGTCCCCACTCTCCTCAAACCGCCTCAAGCAAAGCAGCTAGGCTGGCTGCCAGCTAGCTCGCCAGCACACACCAGCTGGCATCACGCACAGCCCCCAGCCAGCACATGCGTGCTGCTAGCGAGCCACGCATGCTGCTGTGCTGGGCGAGGCCCTTCGCTGATGCTGCTTGCTGCCTGGCGCTGCTTGCTAGCTTGCTGTGCTTGGTGCTGTCATATGAAGGCATGCACGCAAGCACACAGCTATGCGAAGGCTCGCTGCTGCATTGCGAGGCTGCTGGGCATTGGCTAGCATTGTGCTGGCGCCTAGGCCATGCACAGATGCGTTGCAAAGCACAACGTGCTGCTTGGCATGCAAAGGCACGGACGTAAGCCAGCACGCATGGTGTTGCTATGCAAGGCATGCACGTATGCAAGCACTCGGTGCTAGAGATGGTGTTGCCATGCTAGGCACACACGCATGCTAGTACTTAGTGCTAGCAATGGTGCGCCTAGCACACCTAGTGTGTCTAGGCTTGCGCCTATCCATGCTAGGTGCATTCTAGCTCAAGCTAGCCTAGCATCCACGTGGCTAGACCAATGTGGTGCTACGGCTATGCTCATAATTGTTGCTTCTGATTTTGCGACACTCGGCCTCGACGCCCTAGGCTTGATATCTGACGTTTGTGTTCGTAAAATTCCGACGACTCATTAAATCCTTCAGATTAATTCGTTATCTCGGATCGGCTGTTCGATTGGGTTCGACCCGAAGGGTTCAGTTAAGATTAAGCTGTAATATAAATTATACCTTAATATTACTGATCGGAAGCGGCCTCCACCTAGGTATTCCGATCACTTGACCTTACTGAAGAATTAGCTTTGTAATAATTTTGAACCCTCTATCAGAATAATACTCTTGTTGGAAGGACACCATTCCTTTCAACATGATACTACGAATCATACAGTAGTAGAAAAAATGAATTAGGCACCGCACTTTTCGCACCAGTTCTTGAAAACCGGTGGTAAAAAAAATGGGCGGGATTGGAAAAATGACTTTTCGCACCGGTTCCTATTAAACCGGTGCGAAATCATCTTTTTCGTGCGAAATCATCTTTTTCGCACTGGTTCAAACCGGTGCGAATTATAAACAAGGGAAAAAAAAGGGAGAAAGGGATTTCACACCGGTTCAAACCAACCCGGTGCAAAATAGTGTTTTAGCACCGGTTCAAATCGGTGCGAAATTAAAAAAAAAAAAAAAAAAAACCGGGTTGCGTGCATTTCTTTCTTTCTTTGTTCTTCTTTCTTTCTTTCCCCATACTTTCCATCTCCTGTTTCCCTCTCGTTTTCGCCTTCTCTTCCACCATCCTTAATTTCCACTCCATTGAAGCAGCACCTCCTTCTCTCTCCATTGAAGTGATTTACGAGCTTTCTCACTCCATTGAAGCAGCACCTCCTTCTCTCTCCATATCTCTGGTCTCCATTGAACTCGCCGTGCTCTATATTCTCCATTGAAGCCTATTATGAGCTTTCTCACCTCCATTGAAGCAGCTTCGAGGTAAGATTTTTATTGTGGTCTACTTAATCCCTCGAATTCATTCGCAATCTAGGGTTTGTCGTTGATTTGCTTTTCAATTTAGTAATTTTAGGGTTGTGGTAATCTAGGGTTTGTCATTGAAGCTCGCACGACTCTACCTCCACCACAACGACCTCCTTGTCACGGCGGCAGGGCCTTCTTTTTCTAGGGTTTATCGTCAATTCCCCCCTTTTTCTTCGATTTTTTTTGTTTGATTTGATTATTGAAGATTTCTTGTGTACTGTGTGTGTTAGTGTGTGACTGCTGTGATTTTCGTCGTTGTTATTTTGCTGGAGTAATTTGCGATTCATGCTACGATAGAGGTGAGCAATCAATAATTGTGTTTGTTTGAGTAGATGTAGCTCTATTTTCTAGTGATTGTTGCAAACAGAACTATTCTTAGTTGTAGAACATTTTTTCTATAAAAAATAAATTGTTATAGGATTTAGATCTTCAATTTCTAGCAATATTGTTGTTATTGCGGATACATTGATTAGTTTTAGTTTCCTCACACGTCTGATATCCAATAACGTTTTTCGTCGTGACACTTGATTGACGATTATATATTGATGTTATTGAAAGATAGGAGGAGATATTTTGATCTTTTGATGTTAATAAAGATAGGAGGATATATGTTGATCTTTTGATGTTACTCTAGGTTTTTTTTCTGGCTAGCTACATATGCGCTTGTAGCAATGTCTCATAATAGTGTATGTGCTGTTAATTACTATGTGAAAATCACTAGAGGTTTGTGTACCGTTCATGTGGACAGTCTGGTTGTTGTCGTTGGAGCCAAATCTTCATGACTTCAGTGCAACATATTGGTTTCATTATAAGTCAAACCTTATCCGGTGAATGTAGCTTAAGGTGATTGCCAAGTTTCCAACTATCCCTTCAGATCATATGGCATTCACACGTCTAGCAAGTACATATTAGGCTCCTTTTTCTAAAAGTATTATAGTATTCCTTAATTTATTTTTGACTGACTTATATGTGGCCACAGCATACACCATTACACCATAATGTCTTCGAAAATTATGATTGGTTGTAGCATTTGATTCTGAACTATAATGAATTTGTATGTCCCCAAAAGTATGTCACTTTAGGCGCTAAAGTCGAACTTGTATTGCAGAATTTATTTTAATAAAACTTGTAGTAAAATTTTGGTTTGATTAGTGGAGAAAGAGTTGAGTATTTGTGATAGGTCAAAACATATATTTTACTCTTGTAGGACAATGTGTTCCCTTTATTGGACTAAAATGCAGATGCCCAAAAATAGATAATGATGCTTTAAGATGGAAAAAACTGCAAGTCGCTAGGTTTGTAGCATCATATAATATGGTAGATTTGACATCTTGAATTCTTCTTGTTGAACTATGATCCTCAGTTTACTTAAAATACAGTGAAATTAGGTTCTTTCACTAGTAGAAAATTTTAAATAGGAACCTCCCCTTTAGCACCGGTTCTTGAAAACCGGTGCCAAAATAAATGGGCGAGATTTGAAATTTCAGAGTTGGCACCGGTTCCAACCTAAACCGGTGCCAAATTCTTTAATTAGCACCGGTTCAAACCGGTGCCAACCATTTTAAAAAAACAAACAAAAATAAAAACAAAAGAAGGGAATGGAGTTGTCACCGGTTTAGAGCGAACCGGTGGCAATTATTGCAATTAGCTCCGGTTCGAACCGGTACCATTTAAAACAATAAAAAGCCGAGTTTCTGGGTTTTAACTCCTTCATTTCTTCTTCAATTCATTTTTCATTCTCTCTCTCTTAGCTCTTTGAAATAAAACGCAGAATGCAAGCCTCTCCCTTCAATTCCTTATCTCTCATCTCTCATCTATCATCTAAGTTCTTCTCTCTCCAACCAAGCACAACAGCCAACACAACAACCAAGCCCCTGCCGTCAACCACAACAAACATCGTCGCCGCCTAAAATCAGAAATTTCAGGTTAGGGTTTCTGGGTTTTGGGTTTTTCACGATTTTGGCTGGGTTTTTCACGATTTCTGGGTTTTGTGGGTTGAATCTGTGTGGGTGTATTTGTGCGAAATCGTTCATTTTTAAGGGGTTTATTTGATCGATTTTTGTTCGATTTTTTGGGTTTATTTGTTCGATTTATTATCGATTTTTTGGGGGTTTATTTGTTCTACTTATTTTTTGTTTTTTTGGTTGAATTTACCTGGTTTAATCGTTCGTTTTTAATGGGGTTTAATTGATCGATTTGTGTTCGATTTTTTGGGTTTAATTGTTCGATTGGCTTTTGATTTTTTTGGTTTTATTTGTTCTGTTTATATTTTGTTTTTTTTGGTTGAATTTATCTAGGTTGAATTTATCTGCCTTGGTCGATTTTTGTTTGATTTTTTGGGGTTATTTGTTCGATTTATTTTTGATTTTTTTGGGGTTTATTTGTTCTATTTATTTTTCATTTTTTTTGTTGAATTTATCTGGGTTAATCGTTCGTTTTTAAGGGGTTTTTTATCGATTTTTGTTCGATTTTTTGGGTTTATTTGTTCTATTGATTTTTGATTTTTTGGGGTTTATTTGTTCGATTTTTGTTCAATTTTGTGGGTTTATTTGTTTGATTTTTGTTGAATTTATCTGATTTTATTCTTTTAATTGATGCAGGTTTGAAGTTTCTGATTTTTTAATTTTCGGTTTCAAGGTCGTGAATTTGCTGAGTATGAAGTTCGAAGTTTCTAGGTTGTAAAATAACAAATTCAGCAATTTCTCTTTTTTTAAATAAATTGTAGGCAGCCTAGCCCTTGCGGAGCTATGCCAATGCGAGGCTACGACTAAGAGTTGACTTGTTGTTTGACTAATTTTTTGTCTCGTTAATTGCTCGAATGTCTCGACATTCGACGCTAGGCTTCGACACTCTAAGCTCGAAATCCGACGTCTGAGTTCTTAAAATCTCTATCGACTTATTTAATCCTTCGAATTAATTCGTCGCCTTTGTTGGGTTACACGATTGGGTTTGACCCGAAGGGTTCAGTCAAGAGCAAGCTGTAATATTAATTATACATTAATATTATTGATCGAAAGCAGCCTCCAGCTAAGCATTCCGATCACTTGACTTCACTGAATAATTAGCTTTCCTAATTAATTCTGAACCATCTATCAAAATAATACACTTGTCCGAAGGTCACCATTCCTTTCAATCTCCCACTTGTCCTTCCAGACAAGTGTGTTGTATGTGTATTGCCTTTTTCCTATGTAACTTAATTCCTCTTCATGAACTATAAGGTAAAATTCATCGTCATCCTTACTACGTCCAGAAGTGTTTCTCGATTTCCGAGTTTGACTGTCAAGAGCAGATGATTTCTAAAGTCCATCTAAGCATGGCCATGCATTTTCACAGTCTCGCTCTTCGTGAGGGGTTATAAACAAAAAAGACATGTTCCTTACTATTAATAGGGGGATATTCTTAGTCTTGCATTGTTAGCTTCCCTTACGAAGAGGCCCTAGCCACTGGAGTGTTGCCTTTATAATTCCCATGTATGGCAGACATTTGACAACATCAAAATGGACTAGTACTCAAACAAGAGAACTTACAATACTCATAGTTGAGGAAAGAGGTTCCGATAGCCATAATGAGTAATATACTTATGACGATTGTTAAATCTCTTAAAGTATTTTCATAAGTTGATCTGGCATAGTTCCAAACTAATAACTGTGCAAATAATTTATGACATTCTTGTCCTTGTAACACAAGAAACGATGCTATAAATCATACTACACACTAATCTCGCGCGGTCATTAATTGTCCAACTTTCAAATGACCTCGAATAGGGATAGTTTCGATATGATATTCAATGTTTACTTGATAGGTGTTTCTTTATCCAAGACATTGTCTTGATACCCCTTCAATGTTTTCAAATCGAATGGACTCATTATTTAATTCTAAACCACAATTAAATAGAAATGGAATAATAATTAGCGAAAAATTAAAATTACTCCATATTTGAATGGTTAACTTAGTGTTTTACATTAAGATCTCCAAAAATAAATTAAAACACAAAAACAAGTAAATTAAAGCCAATCTCCGACATGCCTAATTCCCATTGCCTCAATGTTCTTTTTGTGTTTCAATTGAGGCAATGGGAATTAGAGTGGATCGGCTACATTGCCGTTCGTTCCAATCTTGCAAATTCTGATTTCATCTTCGGTCTTGCATTCCCTTATCATGTGAAATCGCCTCATGACATGTTTGACCTTCTGATGTTCCCTTGGCTCCCTAGCTTGGGCAATAGCCCCATTTTTATCACAATAGAGGTCTATTGGTCCCTTGTTTGAGGGAACAACACCAAGTTCACCAATAAACTTACGAACATAAACACCCTCCTCAGTTGCTTCTGAAGCTGCCAAGTATTCGGCTTCAGTTGTAGAATCTGAACTCGTGCTTTGCTTAGCACTCTTTCAACTGAACACCCCTCCATTTAGATAGAACACGTATCCTAATTACGACTTGAAGTCGTCTTTGTCAGTCTAGAAGATTACGTCGGTATAACCTTCAACAACCAAGTCCTTACTTCCACCATAGACCAGAAATTTATCCTTGTTCCTTTTCAGGTACTTTAGGATATTATTGGTCTGGTCCAATGAGCCTCTCCTGGGTCTGATTGGTATCGGCTCATAGCACTCAAGGCGTACGATACATCCGGCCTTGTACATATCATGGCGTACATGATCGATCCAATAAGCGAAGCATATGGAATTTGATTCATTCTCTCTCGTTCATCAAGTGTCTTTGGACACTGTTTCTTGCTGAGAGTTATTCAATGAGACATGGGTAGGTGGCCTCTCTTGGCTTCCACCATATTGAATTATGCTAGTACCTTATCAATATAAGTACTTTGGCACAATCCAATCATCCTCTTAGATCTATCCATATAGATCTTGATGCCTAAAATGTATTGTGCCTCTCTCAAGTCCTTCGTTGAAAAACACATTCCAAGCCAAGTCTTTACAGACTCCAGCATTGGAATGCTGTTTCCAATGAGCAATATGTCTCGACAAGATAAGGAAATGCGATGTCACTCCAACTGACCTTTTTGTAAACACATGACTCATCTAGATTTTTGATAAAACCAAACTTAATGATGGCTTCATCGAATCGCAAATTCCAACTCCTGCTAACATAAATGGATTTCTTAAGATTGCATACCTTCCCAGCAATAGTTGGATCTACAAAACCTTCGGGTTGTGTCATGTACACAGTTTCTTCCAAAATACCATTAAGAAAGGCGGTTTTGACGTCCATTTTCCATATTTCATAATAAAAATATGCAACAATTGCTAGGATAATCCAGACGGACTTAAGCATGACGACTAGCAAAAAGGTTTCATCATATTCAACGTCGTGAATTTGCCTGTAACCTTTTGCCACCAGTCTAGCTTTGTATACATATAAATTTCATCTTCGTCGGTTATCAACTTAAAAATCCATTTGCAACTGATAGGTGTATATCCTTCGGGCAAATCAACCAAGTCCCAGACTTGATTTTCAAACATGGAGTCCATCTCGGATTTCATGGCTTCTAGCCATTTAGCAGAGTCGGGGCTCGTCATAGCTTGTTTCTATGTCGCTGGCTCATCTTCATCCAGAACTATGATGTCTTGACTCTCGGTTAAGACGACACCGAGGTATCTGTCCGGTTGAGATCTTGGCCTTTGCAACCTACACAGGGTAATAGATTGAGCATATCATTGTCGATTTGACTTTGAAAATTGTTGGTTTGACTTTGACTATTATCAAAAGCTGCTTCCAAAGCCCTTTGATTATTAGCTTTGCCAGATTCATTTTATTTCTCATTTACTCGAGCTTCAACAAGTTCGATTTTCCTCCCACTTGTCATTTTGGAAATATGCTCGTTTTCCAAAAAGACACCATCTCGAGCAACAAATACTTTGTTCTCATATTGGTTTTAGGAGTAATACCCCTTTGTTTCTTTTAGATACCCCACAAAGAAACATTTTTCAGTTTTGGTGCAAGCTTGTCAGACATAAATGTCTTCACATATGCTTTGCAACCCCAAATCTTAAGAAAAGACACCCGCAAAGGTTTCTTCGTCCATAATTCATATGGAGTCTTTTCAAAAGATATTGACGGAGCGCGGTTTAGTGTTAGTGCCGCGGTTTGAAGTGCATGTCCCCAAAAAGAGATAAGAAGATCAATAAGACCCATCATGATCGAACCATGTCTAACAGAGTTCAATTTCTCCTCTCGGGTACTTCGTTCCATTGTGGAGTTCCAGGAGGTGTCAATTCTGAGAGAATGCCATGTTCTTTCATATGGTCATCGAATTCGTAGCTCAAATACTCGCCACCTCGATTCGATCAAAGGGCTTTGATTTTCTTACCAAGCTGATTTTCCACTTCACTCAGAAATTCTTTGAACTTTTCAAAGGATTCAGACTTGTGCGACAGTAGGTAGACATAGCCATATCTACTATAGTCGTCCATGAATGTAATAAAATAGCAATAACCTTGTTTGTCATGAAAGAAGATGAAGACCATTTTCTGAATATGTTGTACCATATAAAACATTATCAAGATAAAACGAACAACTATTTTCCCTTATCCGAAATTCAAAACCATTGGCGTCCAACGCCGAAATTGAAATGACTTTTTTTGGTAATGTTTAGAACGTGATAACATTCATCCAGTTCTAAAACAAAGCCCGAGGGCAAAGAGAAACTGAGTGTCCTACGGATACGGCCGCGATCCTTGCTCCATTGCCTACCCGCAGTTCTACTTCTCCCTCACTACCTTTCTACTTTTGCTTAGTCCCCTAGCATTGGAACAAAGGTGTGAGCCACATTCGGTATCTAATACCCATGAAGCATTGCTAGTAAAGTTCAGGTATATAACATATGTACCTGATCCAAAAGCAATTGTTCCATTCTTCTTATCTTCCTTGAACTTGAGGCAATCCCATTTCCTATGTCCCTTCTTCTTGCAGTAGAAGCATTCAGTGTCCGATTGAGAAGATGCTACCTTCTTTTGCTTGTCGCCCTTGGTATCTTTTGGCTTAGGCAGAAAGGTCTTCTTACCTTTCCCCTTATATCCCTTCTTCTTGCCCGATCGCTTAAATGGCTTACCCTTCTTGACCTTAAGCATTTCATGCTTCCCCTCATCTTTGAGAGTTTGCTTGGCTTGCTTCAACATTCCGTGAAGCTTCGTAAGGGTTTTCTTCATGCTGTGCATGTTATAGCTCATCTTGAACTGATCATAACCTTTATGCAGCGAGTCGAGAACGATGTTAATTGCCATCTCGTTCGAGTATCCCGCATCAAGCCTCTCCATGTTCTCGAATAATCCAATCATTTTGAGCACATGAGGGCTGACAGGCTCTCCTTTCTTGAGCTTGCACTCAAGGATTTGCCTATGGATCTCGAACCTCTCGATTCAAGCTTGCTCTTGAAACATATTCTGAAATTCAGATATGATCTCAAAAGTCGTCTCCATCTCAAAGAAAGTCTTTTAGAGATCTGGAGACATTGTGGCCAACATGGTGCATTTGACATCCCGAGTGGCAGCGTGCCATCGGTTCAGGGCAGCCTCCTCACTAGGAGCGTCGGGCATTTCCTCGTCAAGTACGTATTCCTTTAGCTCTTGCATGAGAACTATTCGCAAATTCTTTTGCCAATCAAGGAAGTTTGGCCCACTCAATTTCTTCTTATCGAGAAGTGAGTGGAGTAAAAATTAGTTGTTGTTGGTGTTAGTTGCAGACATTTTGCTACAAATGAAAGAATTTGCAATGAAAACCATTCATAAAACCAATAAGTTTGAAATTTAAAGCATACATGCAAATTTTCAATATTATTTCGCGTTTTATCCACACATTTAAAAATTGTCCCTTTTAGGCGAGAATAAAACGATTCCAAGACCCCAAATATCAATAAGTGATT